TTTACTAGGTGCCGTGTTTCACAACTTGTTTATTTATATACGTATAGCGGATGATTTTTTTTTTAAAAATTAGTATTTATTGATTTTCAGCCCCCAAGTGACTGTGATTTAGACATGTCAGTTCAATTCAATTGCATGTCTGCCGTCAATGTAATGTTTTGCAGTGAATGAATTAATGGAAACATGTTAAAATACACTGTCAGAAAAGGTAGTACGTCTAATGATGGTTTCCACTCTCAGAAAATTACACTGAAAATTAGTCTTCGACAGATCGAGATGGCTTTGGACTTCAACACATATAATAGCGCTCACATTTTCATGAAAACTATTTTCCGATTATGTGGAGATTTGGTTAAAGTTGTATAAAATGGGGTTTTACCAACTACCAATCCAGAATTACTTTTATTTAATTTTTAAGTCATTTTAGAAAAAAAAATATACATCCCAGACGTATGTTGTTTTAATTTTATTTATTATTTCGAGGCCTTTAAAGAGCAAGTAAGTTGGGCTATATATATAGTCCAAAGCCATCTCGATCTGTCGAGCTTACCCATTTTAGATCTGTGTCCCACTGAAATGGACAGTTATTGATTTTGTTGTTGAAAATTATTACTCGTATCCAAGTAAATTTGAGATATTTCTCGTGCTGTAGCCACACCCCCTTATCCTGAATAGGTCAACTGTTTCTGGATTTCCTACTCTCATCGAAGTTAAAGTGCGCCACCACTATGAGAGGAAGCCATACTCTTGAGCCGCACTTTTATAACACTGCGTCATGCAACTACTTTTATACGAAGAGAGAAAAGACGTCGGGTAAATGGTTTGTCATTTTTGCGATCCTGAATATCGCTTTTTAGAGACCATTTAGTTCAGGTTATGTAACGAGGTAACAATAATTTTGATAGTGACGCGAAGACGAAGCATCGGACAAGTAGGAAATTACGCAGCACTTTCGCAGCTAATTGTTTTCATTTTCACAGGCTAAAAGTTTCTGAATTGGTCGGTGACTGGTGTTGAATGACAAATTCACGCCTCTGTCACCTTTACTTGCAGCTTCATCTGCGTAACTATCATGGAATAAGAATCCAGGCTTGGGCTGTCAATGTGTTTCGACCAAGTAAATATTTTTTCAACACAGGGTACCAATGAATATTATTTTTCAACACAGGGTACCAATGAATAATTGGCACGGATCTAGAAGCCGTACCTACACACGAATTGGTGACGTCACAAAATACATGACCTTCAATCGGGGTCGTTTCCTCGGTATATACGAATTGGTATATACAAATTACAATAAAGATACTTAAGACATTACACATAAGGTAAAACAAATCATGTGACAATATAATGATAATAACGGTAATAAATCCTAGCTTAACAGTTGAACAGAACGATCATATAGTCAGTCGGGTGACGCCGAGGGTCACGCACTTGTTGCAAAATGGTCGTGTGGTTGAAACTGGGTCATGGCGTGACGGGCGAGGAAGACATCATTAAACACTCTCAAAATCACAATAAAACGGGGAAGTGGTTGCATATTACGGCGTAGCCAACATGGGAAATAAAAAAAACGTTCAATACAAACGACATGGGTTCGAATCACACGAGATACACACTCACCAGAACCGAAGCAATCAGAAACAAGCAATCGTTTTGGCTTTTCCGTTCAACTCATCGGAACACTGGAGTAGTTAGAAAAATGAACACCACTTAACGACCAACGTCGTGGCGTGGTACACAAGCGTGCCATCAAAATAAAACAAAATTAGCTTGAAAAGACAGTGGGTTCGAGTCCCGCTCAGAGC